TGTGATCCTTTTTCTTTATATATTGGGACTATCACGGCTTTGCACCAGTCTCCCGGTACCCGCTTAAGTTCCCAACATAAATTAAACAAGGTGTACAGCAGGTCTGCCACCACTCCTTCTCCAGCCCTTAGCATTTCGAGAGATACTCTATCATAATCGGCTGCCTTACCTGCTTACATACTTTTCATTGCTTTAATTATTTCATCTATACTTATATCTCTATCTATTTTCTCTTCTTTCGGAATTTCATTTAATTCAAACGTCTCATCACTCATAAACACGCTTTCAAAGTATTCCTTCCATCTCCTTAAACTCAAAACTTCGTCAATCAGAATACAGCCATTCTGGTCTCCTATAGCATTCATTCTAGGCTGTTTTGAATGTCCCCTGGTAGTTCTTACGAGTTTCCAGAACATTTTAATGTTTGCCTGGAAGTTATCCGATATTCTTCTATCATTCTTATCCGTTCTTTCTTGCTTTTTCCTTTCAACTACTTCTTTTACTCTCTTATTTAGGTGTCTAAAGACTGCCTTTTTCCTTTCAATATCATCATTCATACTGCTAGAATTACTAGCCTTGGTTGCTAGTAAATCTAGCCATGCTTTCTTCTTTGCTTCAACTTCCATCCGTACCTCATCATCCCACCATAACGTGTTATTTTTCCTTTCATTCGTTCTCTTACTTACACCACATACTTCGGTAGCTGCATCCACTAAACCTTTCTTGACATTATACCACACAGTCTCCAAGTCTAAATCATTCATATACAATTCAGCCATACCACTTATATTTTCTCTCAATCTACATTTGAACTTCTCTTTCACACCTTCATCTTTTAACCTCTCTGTCCTTATACGCTGTAACGCAGTTGGTAGACACAGATGTCCGATGCCTCCAACGTCTGAAAAGACCATTAATTCAGCATAAGACCAAGTAATGATCCGTCCCTACGTTAGAGCCCCGGTAAATCCTTGTATCTACCACCGCGCTCCTCATTCTTTCATCAACAATTATGAAGTCTATCATACTTCTATCATCACCTCTTTCCCATGTATACGTGTGAATCTTCTTATGACGAAAGAAAGTGTTCGTCACCATTCTCATTTATACTTTCATCACCAAACGTTCCCAATATCCTTTCATAACCAAGCCTCCTCACCCCAACCCTTCCATTAAAATCGCCTAATATCACAACATTTTCATTAACCTTGCATTTCATTAGCACCATCCTTACCAACTTCCAAAACTGCTCTCGGATATAAGTGGGCTTAGACATGTCTGGGGCGTAGACCCCTAAAACAAACAACTTCTTTAAGCCCACTTTCATTCGTATCCATAGCAGTCTCGGGCTTACACATTCATACTCTCTCACACAATGACCCATTCTCTCTGAAAGGATCATACCGACTCCCTGGCATGGCCGCTTGGTCTCGTCTACACCAGACCAGTACGCGGTATACATGCGATGTGTAGTGGCATCCTGTCCCTTCCGTTTCGTCTCATTTACACATAACACGTCTATTCCTCTATCATGCATCATATCGCATACTTCATCCATCTTATCATTCATTCCTCCACATACATTCAATATAACCAGACGGGCTTCCGCAATCCACTGTTAATGAAATGTTGTAAATGTTAAAAATAAAAATGTAAAACAAAAATATTATTTTTTAAATTAATGGGCTACAATACAAATATACTTAACATTGTTGACAGATAATTAATGTGACAAACACTTAATTTTGAGGTTGCCACAGGTATTTGGCATTGGGCTTTACTGAATCCACCAATTTGGATCCTGTAGTGGTATTCAGAAAAGATTTAAAATTTAAACAATTTTCCTCAAAGTTCATTCTAATTAGTAACCCAGCATTTATTAAATCAATAGCCATACGATTTCTCTCTTTAGTATATAAATTATTTAGTAAACTTAATACCCTTTCACAATAAGCATTGCTTACAAGAATTGACAACATAAATGATATAATTTTTTTTAATTTCATAATTTCGTTTTGGTTGCATTTCAATTTTAAATTATTAACATTTCGAGGAGCTGTTTGTCTGGAGATTTTGAGTTTTGTCGGGAGTCGGGAGATCATTTAAAATGTCGGGAGAATCCAGACGAATCCCGACCATCTGGCAACCCTAGCTGTAGCATAAGCTAAGCTTAATCTTAGCCCTATACAACTATAAATTCAACACCAAAGAATATGCTAAACATATACTCAGCAAAGTTTTTCGTAAGTAAAGTCAGAATAAAGTCAAAGTACAGTCTATAGATCTCAGCCATAGTCTTAATCATCATGCTTAGCAGACAGATTGTAGATCACAGCACGAGACGTCTCCATATTTGACGCTGCTATTCGTCGCTGGTTATTTTACACCTGGCGTAGACGAGGAAATTATAGTTATCTGTAAAAAGCCATAAGATTTTTAGGCATTTTCTAAAGACTCCTCTCACGACTTCCACGGTAGCAGACGGGATACTATATTTCTCTGACTTCTGACCTTTTCTTGTCGTTACTATGAGGCTAGATTAACACTAGTTCTTGCCAAACTCTGTTGCGACTGGTTTTGTATAACCGTGAACACACGTGTAAGTATTATTGTAAGGACAATGATAAACGCAGCGTGATATGGTAAAAACATTTTACGACATTGTAACAGATAGCGGTGTTCGCACAATGTTCGCGACTCCATAAAATCAGCAATCACAGAGGTACAGTCATGTGCAAAAACAACTATGCAGTTACTAAAATTTTGAAGCGTATTACAACGTAATAAGGTTCATAACTTGATATTACACTGAAATACCCTTTCGAAGGTAAAGAAGAAAATGCTATAAATAATGATAGGTGCGTACAAGCTCGTGTAAACGATAAAGCAAAGTACTAGTCGTATGTTGTTCATATGGACAATTACATACCTTGCTGGGAAACATGTCAACTCGGTCATAGAAATTTAAATAAAGATTAACGTAAATGAGTTTTTCTTTATTGAAGTACATTACAAGAAACAAATTAAAACTATGATAAACGGCTTATTATATTATAAAATACTTTATTTTTCGTAAAAGTAAACTTTCAGTTCATAGCCACTGGAAGGCTAAAGATGCGTTGTCTGTAAATATACTGGCTCCCTTATCTTTAAAAATAGAACAATGGGCAGAATTAAGCAAGAGGGTGGTATTAACGAAAATGGACTTGAAGGATAGAATGTAAACGCTCAAATATGTCACAAGCTAAACGCTGTGATTCGTATACTAACATAAGGCAGGGGCAATAGTAATTTAGATACGAAAAGAGTTAAAAAACATATCATTCGAATTAAGAATCGCCGCGGCCGGCTATAAAGGAGAATTATTAACATATTTGTTGTATTTTGAACATATAAGAACTATTTGAATGTTTTGTTAGACGAAGCCATTAATGCTTATTCATATAGTACGAGTAATATCTACGTTAAAATGTGATAATTGCATTAGAATAAATTTAGTATACATACAGCGTACAGTCACATCCAACATCTTATGTGCAATTTTGACTTTATAGTATTGTTGTAGTTAAGATAAGACATTGAAGTAATGTGTACTTACGTACTACAAATTATTTCAATGACAAGATATTTTTTAACATTGAACACGTTGTTGCTTCGGACTGTACCATTGCAGCAATGTAAACTACTGATTTTCATAACAGTAGTAACGGCGTCTATTTGTCATTTTGTCGTCGTGGTTTTCCCACCAATATTCGAAGGACTTTGCAATTTGTATTTTGACTATTATTATTTCAAGTTATATAAAACTGAATAGGTTCAGTAATTTGCCTTTCACATTCGCACAGTTTGTCCAATAATGTTTTATTCTATTTGTACAATTTTGACGGGCATTCGATTATTTCAATCGTATTGGTACTCGCGATACAAGTATTGGGAAATTCCAATTATTTCATCGGCATTTATTTAAACATGGATTTAAATATATATTTATAACAACACAAATTTGCATAATTTTAGTATTTTGAAAACAATAATTTAGATGTAAGGAGAATGTTGAAAAAAATGTGGTAAGAATTTTTTTAGTGATTTGATGATTTGATTGAAAAAGCGCTTTTGGCGCGTTCTGTTTTAAAATCTATCGTTCTTTTTTTCGTTCCTCTTTTAATTAACAGTAGTCATGTTTTCTAGGATGTAAGAGAGATTTCCACGTGGTCACTTTATACGTGGTAGAGTCATGTTGCAGCTATATTAGTAGTATAGTTGTAGCACGAATGGGTCGGCTCGACCGGGGAAGAACCACGCTCTCACAGAATACCAGCGTAAAATAGCAGCTTAACACTGCTGTGTTTCGCATGGTGAGTGTAGAGAACCGGAGACCCTTTTTACTGGATAAGAGGCATTCCATCTTAGTACTCACGAGTGACAACGCATCTGCATTTTGATTCGCAAACGAGGATAGATGTAGATGTCTATGGGCCACAGCAACCACTTTCCATCAGGTGGACTGTGTGCTCGTTTGTCACTCGATCCTATAAAAAAAAGATTATGTCAACTTTATAATGGACTTAAAAAGACTATTGATGTATTGTCATGTACTCGTATTTATAGAAATATTTTACTAGTATCGCTATCGCCTGAACTTCAACCTGAAAAAATTGTATGAATGTGTGCGATATACCTAATATTATTTTGTAATATTTTCCCGTGCAAGGAAGACAAAGAAATCCTAGCTTATATTGCCATGATCGTGATCAAAATAACGCATTTGGTATGGAAATATCATGTGTGTACGTTCATTTTACCTGCCTAAACATAATATTCATAGATCATATTTTTGTGCCTACATAATAATATCTATAGCGGAGTACCTTTCGAATTAAACTTGATTGCCGTCTTTTTATAATAAATACTAAAAATGTACATACTTCAATTTTTAATGTCTACACATTAAATTGGTAAAGCACATTTTTTAAGTTATAAGTAAAATTTTAAAATATCTTTTAAGGAATAATATTGACACTTACCAGATAGCAATCGATTGGTTTTTCTCTAGGCCTGTGGTAGGCCTTTTGTAGTTCTGTTTGTTTAAGTGCATGTGCGATGTGCAGGGCGCTGGCATCGAAGCGGCCATATTGGTAATCGGGGGTGTCGCGAGAAACTTCCCGCGCTGGAGATGCGTGCACGCTGCCGCCGTTTGTTGCTCGCGTTGGCGACACTGAGGATAATACATTTTTTAAATTAAAGTGCTTCGTAATAGCATCGGTTAGTTTCCGGCCAAGAAGCTAAGCAAAATCTGCAAAATCGGCAATAACGGCTTAAACTTTTGTATTTCGGAACAGTATTTGGAAGTAAAGAGTACAAATGAGTTTGGGGGGGGGGGGGGGGGGGAACTTGAACGTCAGTTTGAATAGCCAATCATGTAGAGGATGTCATGGGGGTCATGGTTAAATAGGGGCAAAAAGTTCTCATTACATTTCTAAGGGTCAAAATGACCAAAAACTAAAAAATTCAAAATTTTTATTTCGCCTATAACTCAGCCTCATTCGGAGGTTGTTACACAATCTTTACTTGCCGCATCCCACTTGACATTACCTAAGTAATAAAAAGTATAAGTAGTAGCACAATAAATTTTTGTTGCTTTTCATAGTTGTCTTCCTGAACAAATTTTAACTTGATATAATCTTGATGTTTTTGATGATTTATACTAAGTACTGTATAAGATATTTTGTATTGCGTGATACTACTAGTAATAAGGTGACAAAGGAGCACCTGATTGTAAGTTGATACTGTGGCCCATTGTCATCTACATCTATCCTCGATTAAGAATCAATATGCAGAAGCGTTGTCACCCCTGAGGACAAAGATGGAGTGTCCGTATCCAGTAAAAAGGGTCTCCGGTTCTCTACACTCACCATACGAGACACAGCAGCATTAAGTTGCTATTTTACGCTGGTGTTCTGTGAGAGCGTGGTCCTTCCCCGGTCGAGCCGACCCATTCGTGCTACAACTTTTTTTAAAAAAAAAAACGTTACCCCCACACTAGGATTTTCTCCTGTATCGTGGAGGCAGTTTACAAACACAAATTTCACAAGGACAAACATCCAGACCCGGAACAATCATTTGTAGGCCATACAAATACTTGTTCCGTGCGGGATTCGAACCCGCGCCCCCCAGCGCAGCAACTCATTGCTAAGCCACTGCGCCACGGAGCCGTCATGCAACTATACTACTAATATAGCTGCACATGGCTCTAGCACGTAAGAAATACAGCACATACTGCTATTTAGCGCTGGCGAGCATGATCCATCCCCGGTCGAGCCGCCCCATTCGCGCTGTAGCCATAATACAGATGCAGTGCGGCTATCACCACGTACAGGTGAAAATCCCAGTGTGGATGGTGTGGGGTAAGTAAATAACGTATTCAACGTACAAAGAACAAAGAAATTACTTTTAATAAATATAATTTCGTTTTTATAAATACTTAATTGGCAAACACGATCAATTTAGCAATTAAATGAATCATCTTTGGAAAATTATCTAGGCAACATTATCCACAGCAGCGAATCGTATCGGAACACAATAACGGGTATGTGAATAAAAGCAAAGATTGGTGACTATTCATATGTGAAACCGGCCGAGTGGATCGCCCGTTATCAGAAACTCGCTGATGCGCTGTTTGCGGGCTTAAGGTAGAGGTAAAAGATTGATTAATGATATTTACGTGTGGTGACGGCGTAAGAATATACTTTGGGCTTCCGATAGATAGCGTTATAACCACCTCAATTACACCGAACATAAAATACTCATTCCGGCAAAGGAAAGGCAACCTAAATTTTGCAAGACGTCTGGAGCCATAAAAGTACCCATGCCGCCGTATTTTATGCCAGGCATAAATGACGTTTGGTACTGCAATCGTTAATATGTCTGCTATGCTGAATGATCAAGAAAAATCTTCCTTATAAAAAAAAACTTGCGTGAGTGGCGTGTAACACTCGGTTGGGACGAAGTTCCTTTCGTATTATTATCTATAAACGTATTATATTATTGACTAGCTGTGCCCCGCGGTTTCACCCGCGTCATCACGTGTCCGAGTTGCGCGACATGACATGACACCTAGTTCAAGCATTTTATAATTGCAACTAAATATTTTATTTGATAGCAATGTATGGATAAATTGGCATTATTCATGGAGTACTTTTATCTGTCGGCATATGTTTGATGTAGAGCGAAGTTAAGTTTTATTCACTTTCCCTCCCCCTCATGGTTGAGCGTCCTCCTCCCCCCTCTCCCTCACGTCCCATAAAGTATCCCGAAGCGCGGTTTTTTCAGTTTTAAAGAAAACCGTACACGATACATGAAAAGTGTGTAGGCATGAAATGATTCTTGATAAATTTGCTATCAAACTCTTATACTTATAATTGAATAAAATTTTCAAAATATCATAGCAACGTGAAATGAAAGAGTTCAGAAATAAAAATGTAACTAATCATTGTCATAAAAGTAGTCAATTAATTTTGAATTTATTTTAGCTATAATGATTGAACTAACCTCGCTCATAGAAGCTTTCAAATTTCAATACTGGCTTCTCGCAGTTCTCACCGGGCGGCTAGAGTTTATGCGTCGTTCGCGCGCCCAGCCAAGTGTTGAATTATTTTAATTTTACATTATCTCTTTAACTATGCGTCCAAATAACACTGTATAAAGAACAAAGTTTATATTCATAAAATTGTCTTGATGATGAAGTAACTTTTGTTCGTAAGGATTAATAGGCCATGCCTAATAATAACGCTTATATATCACTTTTTAATTTTCAATATTTTTTGTCACTTAATACCTAATTATGGCTTGTGTATAAGAAATAGAGAAATAGAAGATAGATAGATCGCGGACTTTCTTTTAGACGGAGTAAAGATCTATATTTTCTAGAACATTGTATTTACGTATCCCTAACCATAACACCAGCGTACGCGATAAATCATTTCGGGAGCGCTTTTTCTTCTGACTTGCTTAACAAATATCCATATTTAAGGCTAGCTGAGTGATGTAGCTTAATACTAGATAGGCTATACTATTCCACATGAATCTGGCTATAATATACAAAAAATTTTTTTTTAAATCGGACTGGTAGTTTCAGAGATTATCGCGTTTAAACAAACAAAAAACAAACAAACTCTTCCGCTTTATTTTATTATTATTATTAAGTATTAAGTATAGATAAACAAATACAAATAAATGAATTACTAGCGTCTATTAAAATGAAGCGTCATTTGAAATAATATTCCTTTCAAGGCAAGATAAGAAAAAGGGCGAGGGTGATGGATATTCCATCTCACTCGCACTATAAAAAGGGGGTCGTGACGGAAAAATTTCAAACACTTCTTCTCGATTAGCCCCATCCGTCAAATTCGTACAGTACGACAAGGAACTTCGTTCCAAAAAGAGTTGCAGCGATAATTAGAGTTATCTCTGGGTATTGCTAGGGGTTGGGTAGGTCTTATAGTTAATTTGCGTGGCACCCAGAAGTTAATTTGCACTAATAAAGAAGTGCAGTTCATGAGACCACTAACAATTTTTAACAGACACAATGTCTGATATTTGGCGCCTTCTGTGTAGGGAAAAAGTGATATCTTCTACACTTCGTCCCGTATCCATGATCTACTTGCTTACATTTAAACTTAAAATATTTTAGAAACCTTTTTGTATGGATTCAATGGGAGAAATCATCATCATTATTACAGCCCTTCACAAGTCCACTGCTGAACATAGGCCTCCCCCAAAGAATACCACTAAGCACGGTCCTGAGCCACCTGTATCCATCGACTTCCTACATGTCTTACCTTATCTAGAGGGGGACGCCCTACACTTCACCCGCTGATACGGGGCTGCCACTCGAGAACCTTTTTTCCCCATTGGATGTCCGTTCTTCGAGCTACATGGCCAGCCCACATTGCCACTTCAGCCCACAAATCCGTTGGGGCTATGTCGGTCACTCTGGTTCTTCTGGTTCTGGTTCACTCTGGGCGATAAGGAACTTCGCTTTAAAACAACTATAACCAGCAGTGGACTTTTAAGTGCTGATGATAATGATGATGATAATTATAATAACAATATAAAAGCGAGAAAATCGTCCGCTAAGCATGGTGACTTCGGGCACAACCTTCAAAGTAATTCTTGTGACTGGCTCATTCTTGGAAAGTCCTTCGTTCAGCTTTGGAATGGAATAATGTTTTATTCAATACAGATTATAAATAATACTTATTAAAATGTATTTATACTTTCACCATTGTTTCGAAAGAGTTCGTCAAGTTTCGTCACATGTCATGCGACGAAACAGTAAGAGACACTGCAGGACTTTTTTAAATTATAGATTACATTTACAATGTATATTTTAAAAACATTTGGAAGCAGCATTTGGTAGCGATTATTTATTACCAATAATTTAATAACCAATTTCAAACTACTTTTCTTTAAAAGTTTTAGAGACCTTGAATATTTTCTGGGACTATGTTGTAACCAGTAAACCAGCGCATTACCTAGAAGAAGATACGAGGACATTTTTTGGGTATTGTTATGAGCTAAATGCAAAAAAAAAAATACATCAACAATTAAATGTAAAAAATTTTTAGCCGATGGATTCCTCATGAACTCACCCTAGAACAAAAACGGGCTTGAATTGATTGGTGTAAACTTAGAGTAAGGGTGTAAAAATGCCGTTGAAGTATGATGACGGACGTTCAAATGCTGTGTATGACATTCTGACAGAGGATGAAACATAAAATGAAACACAAAGTAGTAAGTATAGATAGGCAAAAAGATAAATAAAACGAAATATTTACCAACACAAAATATATGCCCAGTTTCTTTGAAAAGGTTAGGGAAAACTACCGAGAAGTCGCATTCGCTATCGTACCATGACTGCTTCGGCGCACACCGCGAACACGTAGGGTTTCTTTATTTTTCCGAAATTCAAAGACTTAATTAGAGATTTGACATTTACTGAGCTAGAAGAGCTCCAACTTTCCTTTCAACCAGCACGTGATGAACTTGCCCTCAGTCCAATGGTCCTTATATCACAGAACATGTAATACTGGTAGTGCTACATAAGTTTTCAAAAATAGTTTGAACGAATGAAGAAGCGTTTCGAATGTAATACAGAATACTTTGAAAAACTAATTAATAGAATCAGGCGTTACTTTGCTTACCTACTTTGAAGAG